GAAGGAGAAGGAGGAGAAGGAGGAGAAGAAGAAGGAGGAGAAGAAGAAGAAGGAGGAGCAGCAGCAGGAGCAGGTGTGTAGTTTGCTCACTCCGGTTCTCTGGTGTTCCTCTGCTTCATCAGCCTCTGACCTCTGACCTCTGAGCTCCTCGTGTCTGAACTTTGGATTCAGTCTGAGTGAAGCTCGACCTTTGACCCTGATGGGGGGGGTCTTATAAAACTGATGATGAAGATTCATCTTCTCATCACCAGCTGCTGCTTCTCTTCCTCTCTGACCTCATCGACCTGAACCTTCACTGAAGCTGCTGGTTGACTTCAGAGCTTCAGAGCTTCAGAGCTTCAGGTGCTGACGTCAGAGAGAACCTGGTGGTTCAGTGAGAGCAGGTCGTCATGATGCAGTCGGTTAGTGTCGGAGCTGAACTGTGCAGCAGTGTGTTCGTGGAGGACCAGTCCAGCTCTTGAATAATGTATGAGCTGCTCTCTCAGATATTCTCTCAGCGTCTCTTCTTTCCCTTCCTGTCGTTCCGGTCCCATCTGCTGTGCTCGCCGTCCCCAGGAAACAAAGGCCGAAGACTTCGGGCCAGAAACACACAGACAGTCTTTTGATCAGCTCACGTGTGTTCACCGTCTGTCCTCCATGTCAGGTTTTTATCACAAGAACCCCCCCCCAGTGAACGACACGAGCTCGCTGCTGCTTCCACGTGTTTGACGGATCCAGACACAGTCCTGGATTCGTCTGTGGCTCCATAGACTCAGGTATCGAACCACCGTGCCGACACCTGTTGGTTTGTCAGGTGCTGCTCTGAAGCCTCAGTTTCACACTGTGTTCAGCGCCATCTTGGTTTTTTGAAACCAGAAGTAACCCCCATTTGGAGGAGGAGCAGGGGGTGGGGCCTGAATGACTTGAGGACACGCCCACCTACACCTGTTACCTGCACCCATTGGACGGTACCAGCTGTCAATCACACTGTCGTGTCATTTTCTATAGAAACCACCAGAGGAGTCGCCCCCTGCTGGTCAGGGACAGAACACAGGTTTCAGTCACTCTCGGAGTGTGCGTGTGTTTTTATCTGCGTTGTATTAAATCACTCTGGCTCCCACACGGAGCAGAGCCACTTGTGTTGTTGTTGGTCTCCTCCTCATGTTGAATGGATGTGACGACACTTCATTCTCCCTCCTTTGTGTTGAACAGGGTTTAGGAGAATGGCAGAGGACAGACGACGTCACCCTCAGTGAGAGAGGAGGAGGTTCAAGATGGAGCGAGCTCACAGCCTCCTGCTGAACGAGGATGCGTGCAGCCAGCTGGCTGAACACCAGAGGGCAGAGTTCATCTTCGAATGGCTGAACCACCTGAAGAAGCTCCTCCCGGCCGCTGACAGGGTGATGAACAGTGACCAGAAGTTATTAGGACCTGAACCGTTCTGAACTTTACCTTGTGTTAGTTTGAGTCGCTCTAAAGTTTAGGAGCCGGTTCTGAAACGCATCAAAACACTGAACTGTGCTTTCGCTTGTTCCAAAAATCAGATCAAGTAATTAGTTGAGATTCAGGTTTTCATCCAGGAGGCTTTTCTGCGAGTGACATGTTTTCTCCACCTGTTCAGGTCGACATCAGACAGAACCAGCGGCGCCTGGTCGAACAGCTGTCCTGCGTTCTGATTGGCTCTCCTGGCCCACCGACCCGCTGGCTGCTGGCCCACTGTTTGGCCCTGCTCTACCGCCTGGGAGACCCCTTGCCGTCCAGTCTATTAGTGGAGAGGTGCAATGACATCATTCGCAGCAAAGACGACTCTCCCTCAGGCCTCCCGACCCGGCTGTGAGTCACCACGTCCTGTTCGGGTCATTGTGGGGTGGGGGGGGGGCGTCTCTCAACAAGAGTCTCTGTTTGTGTACTAATACTCACACTGAGTACAGCAACACAGTGCTGTTAAAACCATGTGTCATTTAACTCTGTGTGTGTGTGTGTGTGTGTGTGTGTGTGTGTGTGTCAGGGTGGCCGTTGCGTGTCTCGGTGCTCTGTACGAGCAGCTCGGCCGGATGCTTCTCGGCTCCTTCAAAGAAACTCTGACCAACCTGCTGAAGGCCATGAAGAGCGCGGAGGTTTGTTATTTGAACACACGAAGAAGAAAGTTGTGGTTGATTTTTCCACAGAAAGAATCAGACGTTAAAATTACTTTAGTGAGAAAAGATCTATTTACAATTTGAATCACTGAAATAGAAAACAGACAGAATAATTAATTAACCTTTTAAAATTTCCTTGGCTTGAACATTTTCTGACAGAATGTTTGTGAGTGTTTATACTGAACTCCATAAAAGTCCATATGTGAGGTACTGTACAGGAACGTGTGACGTGGTTCAGTTTTGTTCACTGAGATCTTTCAGTTTTTATAAACAACTGTAACCTTGTTTAAAGTGTTGAAGCTTTAAAAATGTTGTGAATCAGAATAACTGCTGGAATCTATGAATCCCGTCCTTCAGTCTCAGGGGCGGTATGAGATCATGTTGAGTGTGGAGAAGATTCTCCACGGTTTGGGTGTCAGCGCGGTGCCGTGTCACCGTGACATCTACAAGGCAGCGAGAACCTGCCTGACGGACCGATCCATGGCCGTACGCTGCGCCGCCACAAAGGTGGAGTCTCCTGTGACGCCGTCACACTGTTATTCTTCCTGTTTGTCTCTTTGTAAATTCATTGTTCAAAAATCCAGGTTGTATCATTGAGTATAAACGTGTCCGTCTCTCATCAGTGTTTGCTGGAGCTGCAGAGGGAGGCCGTGTTCCTGTGGACCAGCGAGTTGGAGAACGTGGCCACTCTGTGCTTCAGAGCTTTCGAAGGGTCCGACCACAACGTCCGAGTGTCTGTAGCCAAACTGCTGGGAACGCTGCTGGCTGCTGCCGTGGAGCCCCGGCAGCCCGCCGGTAACCACCTGAGAGGACCAGTGTCAAAACCTCTTGGAGCTCGTCAGAACGCTAATTCATGAACTGTTGTTTTTCTATTTTTCTCCCAGCAGCCCCCAGACAGGGTGGGCGGGGTCGAAGCTCTCTGGAGGAGGTGATGGATTTGTTGACGGCCGGGTTCCTGCGGGGTGGGGTGGGTTTCCTCCGAGCCAGCGGAGACATGCTGAAGGGGACGAGCTCTGTCAGCAAGGACATCCGCATTGGTGTCACTCAGGTGGGCAATAATTGACTCACTGTCATTGCTCCTCCTCCTCCTCATCGTAATCATTGTCCCCCTCCTCATCATCCTCCTCTTCCTCCTCCTCAGGCCTGTGTAGTCTTCGTCTCCACCCTGGGAGGCTCCTGGCTGGAGACGAACCTCCCAGCCTTCCTGTCTGTGCTGATGGAGCTGGCGTCCCACAGCAGAGCCACACAAACACCGGGCGACGCTGTGGTGACCCACCGCTGTGTCTCCTTCATCCTGAGGAGCACCCTGGGGTCCCTGATGGGAGAGAAGGCCCAGACCAACGCTGTCAAACAGCTGTGCCTCGCTGTGGCTGCACAGAAACGAGCTATTGGTGAGCAGGGGGAGGGGAGACTGACGAGCTTCTGTAGTACTGTAGTACCGAAGTATTGTAGTACTGTAGTACTGTAGTAGAGAAGTTCCTGGATGTGCTGATGCTGCTAGTGATATCATCCTGATGTTACCATGGCAACCAGATGAAGCTCCATGTTTGTTCGTGTGTTTAGATGCAGCGCTGACTGACGGGAACGTGGAGACCCGAGTTTCAGCTGCAGAAATCTCAGCCAGTCAACATGTGTTGGTCTGTTGTCTGCTGGAACTGGGAGGACTCATTCAAGGACTGGGATCCACTGCGGCCCCCCTCCTCACTGACAGCAGCACAGGTCTGACACACACACACACACACACACACACACACACACACACACACACACACACACACACACACACACACACTAGTATTAAAACCAATGTGTGGGTCGATACTCGGTCACGTGTGTGTGTGTGTGTGTGTGTGTGTGTAGCTCTCCTGGACACGGTGATCTCCGTCCTCCTCCACCCCGTCTCCTCCGCCCGCCTGGCCGCTGCCTGGTGCCTGCGCTGCGTTGCCACGGCGATGCCTTCCCAGTGTTCCCCACTGCTGGACCGCTGCTCCGAGCGTCTGA